ACCAGGGTAAAAAAGTGAGAATATGTCAAAAAAAAAAAACTAAAAACAAAACAAACAACAACAACAGCAACAAAAACAATAAACCGGCAAGTTTTAGTTCAGGATTTCCCATTAACTCTTTTTTTTTTTTTTTGCAGTTTTTGGCCAGGGCTGGGTTTGAACCCACCACCTCTGGTATATGGTGCTGGCGCCCTACTCCTTTGAGCCACTGGGGCCAGTGCCGTACTCCTTTGAGCCATGGGCGCTGCCCCCATTAACTCTTATAGTGTTTGGGTATTGTACAGCTTTTCACATGCACTGTAGCACTTACAGGATTCAAGCCCAAGTCCGACCTATCCAAATATTTATTTTTGGCAGACCCCTGCAAGGTGCCTTTCCCTTCTTACTTGAGTAGGTGCTGTTCTTGAACTTTTTCTGATATTGTTCTCTGAGCAGCACTTGCTCGTGGAAGGGCCATTCCAACTCTAAATTCTTTTGCACATCAGGAGGGATGGATCCATATCTGCAAATATCTGTAAGTGGAAGAGATCATTGAGGGGAATTTTTTCACAGAGGGAGGGCTGAAATTGTTTATACATATTTAGTTAGCTATTTATATGACTAAACCAGGATAATTCAGTTTTTGGTTATGGGGTATGAGGTCAGAGAAAGAAATATTCTGGTACACATGACAACTTCATGGGCTCATCCATTACTACACACACACAAAATCACAACACACCAAGGGGCAGGTTTCCTTAGAAACACTGGATGCAAATACATTGGCCATAATTTCAGAAGCTTAAGTTTGCCAGAAAGCCCTAGTGAAGGAAACGGCTCAGTTTTCTTTCTTTCCTTTCAGAATACATAGAAGTTGTTCTCCAGGGACTCCATCTGCATAGTGATGATTTTTTCTTGTCATAATGGAAGGCAGGAATCGTTGACTTTTTCCCCTTTAAATTTGGTACTATCAAAGCTTCAGGAACCACAGCACACACACTGGAAAAATCCACCACTATCCCGTTAGGCAGGCAGACCATTTCTTTGTCACAAGGCCACAGGGTCATCAGGCTCTTGCTGCCAGGACTGGCTGACCCTCCCGTGACTTCCTTTCTGGGAAGCTGTGCTTTGTGACTTGT